TTTATTTTTATATTTATTTTATTTTTATTTTTTTTAGAGATTTTAATATTTATTCACAAGTAGTTCCTGAAAAGTTACATCATTTAGATTTAGGACTATTTGCATATCAAATTCGATATACAAGAGAGCTGTTAAAATCTATAAATAATAATTTAATTGAAAAAATGGATTTTAGATTATCAAAAATACCAAGATTTTTTAATTTAAAAATATTTAAGTATGGTTTGAATGATTTGTCACGTTTAACAGCTATGGAATATAGACACTTAATGAAGATTATGGTATTTATAGTTGATAATATTATTTCAAATAATAGAGATTTAAATAAAAAATTAGTAGAAGTATATATTCTTTGGGGAAAAATGTATTTAATGACTAGATATGAATCTTTTACTGAAAATGACATACAATTATTTGAGGTATTTATTACAACTTAAATTTTTATTTATATAAATTATAAAAATTAATTAAATTTTTCTTAAATAATAAGTATTATATGAAAGAATGGGCTAAATTATTTGTGGAATTATTTATTTCTTTTTCACCATCCAATTTAAAACTTCCAAAGCTTCATCATTTCATTTATCATAGTATTGAAACTATACGTATGTTTGGATCCATTAATGGATATAATGCTGAAACTTATGAAAGTCTTCATAAGTATTTTGTAAAAATTCCTTATCACCAATCAAATAAAAAAAATATTAATGAGCAAATTTTAACTCAGGTAAATCAATATAATTTTTACTATTATTTAATATTAAAACTTTTAATTAAATACTTTATTTATTTAGATCAGTAGAAAATCTTTAATAAATTCAATATTTAATTCAATAAAAAATATTAAAAAACATATAATACCTGATTCATTAAAAAATCCTATTACTGAAAAAATTAATTTTAAGTTAATTGATGACATGATAAATAATTTTAATAAGGAAGAAATTCAGGAAGAATTTTATTTAGGTTTTATAAAATTGAAAGATTGTTTACAAACTTATTTTGAAATACTTCAACCTGATTTTTTAGAACATTACAAAATTCCTGAATTCACTACAATTCAAATATTTACATCTGCCAAATTAAAAAATGGAGAAATAATTAGAGCAACCAATTCATTTCATAATAAGCCATTTTTCAGCAATATATCAGTAGAAATGAGTGAATCAGATGTTAATAGTTATCCAACAGATAATGGACTATGTTATGCCAAGGTATAAAAAAAATATATTTTACTTTATATTTTATATTTTATATTTAGAATTAAAAATTTTATATAATTTTTTAGGTGTTATTAATAATAAAAATTGAGATTCCTACTGTTAAAAAGGAATTTGATGTTGCTCTTGTACATTGGTATGATTACAAAAATTTAAAAGAAAATTTATTAATGTATGATTGTCCTCATATGAAATTGGTAGATGATTTTCATATTATACCAATTGAAGCTATTTTAAAAAATGAACATGTAATTCCAAGGTTTAATTATAACAATTCGTATTTTATTAATAAATTT